GAGACCCTCATCCCCTTCCAGCCAGCCCCTCCTTGCTGACCCTGCTGCTCCCCTCCCCGGTGCAGGAGCGTCGCTGGCTCCTGCCTCCTGCCTGTCCCCCTGCCCATGCAGCCCACCTTCCCCTGCCCTGCAGCACCGGGGGTCCCGGGCAAACCGGGGGTACCCCTGTGGGAGGCAGCGCAGCCGGGCAGGGCTGTGGCTGAGTCACGGTGGAGGAATCTCTCTCGGATGAGGGCAGGGCTCGTGGGGGCGAGTGGGGTTCGGCTGGGCGCTGCGCCCGGCTGCTCACACGGGATCCCAGCGATCCGGCGGGATCCGGGGTAGACTCTCAGGGTCTCTCCAGAAGAGACCCTCAGGGTGAGGGGCAGCCAGCCCCCAGCATCTCATTTCTAGATGCAGATCGGCTGCAGCGCACAGAAACAATTCAGGATGTCCCCCCCTTGTGCACGCTTCCCTGCAGGACCCGGGCATCCGGGCTGGGGCTCTGAGCAGCCGCAACCCCCATGCCCGTGCTGGTCACATTATTTCCCACACCGGAGCTGCTTGGAGCAAACGCGGGTGCATGGGGAACCTGGGGGGCACGGGAGGGGCTGCTGCAGTGCACCAGTGTGCAGGCGACCTGTGTGTCGGAGAGAGCATTGCACGGGCATCCATGTGGGCAGGGGGTGGTTTGTGTGCCCGTGCGCTCGGCACCTGCACCCCTGGGTGCTCCTCCTGGAAAGCCCTGGGGCACTTTGCATGGCACCATACGGCAGGTGGGGAGAGGGACGGTGCGGGGCCCTGGGACAGGGACGGGGCTGCCAGGCTCTGCAGCTGGCCCCAATTTAGGGAGCTCAAACCCACGCTCCTGTCCTCGTGTCTCCGGCGGGATCAGCTCCGGGCACCCTGCACCAGCTGCTAACCCAGCCCTGGCGGTGCACCAGCCTCGAGGTCCCACGTGCCGCAAGGTTTGCAAGATTTCAGAAAATGCCCTGAATGTGTGCTCCCCCACGGTTCCTCTCCAGCTGCCAAATCTCTGGGAGAAGGAAGACACATTTTCTCTGCAATCGCCAGAGACTGAAAGGTTGGCTGTCTTCGAGATGCTTGAGGCCAGGCCACCTTGGGTTTCGCCAGATGAGGATTTACCCTGACTCCCTCCTCCAACCCAAACGGGCTCCTGGGGATGGGTGGCAATGCAAACATAACTGGGGGTTTGCAGGGAAAAGCCAGGCGGCCTCCCCTGCTCCCCTGGGAGCAGCCTCCTGCCAGGATGGCCACCACCCTGGAACAAGCCCTGGCCTCCAGCATTGCCACCTTCCATGAGTGCTCGGAGAAGGAGGGTGACAAGTACCAGCTGAGCAAGGGCGAGCTGAAGGAGCTGCCCAGCTTCATGGGGGTGAGCGTGGGGACACCCGGGACTGAGCCCCACCAGCATCCTCACACCTCTCCCCACCACTGGGGAAGATGTGGGGGTCAGGGAAGGGCTCGCTCCTCCCTGAAACAGGTTCCCCCCATCCGCCGAAACCACCCGTTGCAGTTGATGCCTACCTGTGCCGCGGCCGGCGAGCACCGTCCTTGACCCCGCTGATGCTCTGTGCCAGGAACAACTGGATGAGCGCCGCTTCTGGGTGCTGCTGAAGGACCTGGAGGACAAGGTCAACATGACGAACTTCAAGGAGTACGTGGTCCTCCTGGGCTGCCTCAGCATGCTCTGCAATGACTTCTGTGCTAAGGCTCATGGCCCCGCCAGCCGGCATCGAGCCCCAGCCCATGGCTCGAATAAAACTGCTGTCACCTCCCCAGCCCCACTGCGGAGCCTGTTCGTTTGCACTGGGGTCACCGGGATGGGATTGCTTGGGACCATCTGTCCTGGGGACACCGGGGCCACCCAGAAAGCTGGCGGTGTGGGGTACAGTGATGGCTTAGGGGAGGATGTGGGCTGGTGACCAGCTTTCTCCAGGGAGCCCCAAGGGGTGCACCAGCCCTTCCCAGTCCCTGCGCCCATCCCTTGACTCGTGCCTCTGTCCCCAGACTCCCCAGTAGGGCCGCCAGCTCCTCCCAGCAGCACCCAAACCCACCCACCTCCCGCTAATGGGATCACACAGCTCGTTAGGCAAAAATGAGGCGCAGGCAAAACCACCTGTGTGGAGCTGCTGGGAAAGCCTGGAGGCGAGGGGGCTGCATGGGGCGCGCTGGGCAGCGCCGCCCCGGCTGGGCTATAAATGCCCATCGCGCTCCAGCTGCAGCACCCTGGCTCCTTGCTGCTGCCTGGTCTGTGCTGACCCCGGTGAGTCTCTGCTCCCCTTCCTTGTGCATTGCTCGTTGTGCAGCTTTGCTCTCCAGCTGCAGTTCGCCCAGCGGTCGCTGCACCCTGAAACGCCTCCCTGAGAGGCACCGGGGTTGCAGCCGCCCCTCTGCAGCATCATGGACCGATTTGGGCAGGGTGGGGGGGACAGACCCCCCCATTGCCGCCCCATGCCTACCCTGACCCCACCCCCGGTGCTCTGCCCTCCAGGCGTGCAGGAAACTGGTGATGGCGTGTCCCCTGGAGCAGGCGCTGGCTGTGATGGTCACCACCTTCCACAAGTACTCAGGGAAGGAAGGGGACAAGTACAAACTCAGCAAGGCGGAGCTCAAGGAGCTGTTGAACAAGGAGCTGCCCGTCTTTGAGAGCGTAAGTGGCCGTGGGGGCACATCTCTTTGCATCCCTCGGAGGTGCCCAGGCACGGGCGGGAGGTGTTGTAGGGGAAGGAGCAAGCTAGCCTCGGGTCTTTCCACACAGCACGATGGAAACCGGGGTGAGCCGAGGTGGTATCTGAATTTCCCCAAAGCACGCACGACGGATGCAGCCCATGTGCGACATGCTGAGACCTCGTGCTCTAGGGCAAGCCCTGGGGAGAAGGAGGGATGAGGTCAGGAGGACTTGAGCTGGAGCATGCTCAGACCGAAAGGAAACTTGGCTTTCTTATACCCGCAGAAATATTTTGACTGGCAAAGAAAATCGTACTCCGATTTCAATTTTTTAAATCCTTTTTTAACCCCCACTTCCCCTTCTAGCTTGTGGTTTAATTTGGGAGGAGGGAGGAGAAATTTTTCAGCCAAACTTTTTCATGACTGAGAGGCATATTTGCTGTAGCCGTGCCAGCATGCCCCAGATCACAGGTAAGTCACCTGCATTTCTAAAGACCACCTCCTGCCAAAGGCAAAGAGAAAACCCTCCTTCAAGGCAGGGGGAGGGAAAAAAAAAGCCCAGGCTTTTTACATCCTTCCTTGCAGGCAGTGGGGCTGGATGGAGAAGCACCTCGCTCATCCGTGCACCCCGAAACCGCTTACCCCCACCGCGCTCTCCCCCCCTTGCAGAAACGAATGGATGAGGCGGAGTTCAAGAGGCTCATGAATGACCTGGACCACAACAAGGACAGCGAGCTGGACTTCAAGGAGTACATCTGCTTCCTGGCCTGCATCACCATGGGCTTCAATGAGTTCTTCAAGGATGGCCCCGCCAAGCAGCCCCGCAGGAAGTGACCCCCCCGCTGCCCACAGCATCGCTGCAGGGCTTTCAATAAAAGCTTTTCCAAAGCCTCGGTGTGCATCGGCAGGGTTTCATGAGCCGTACGTTAGCGGGCAGCTGGGTGACTCATGCCTCCTCCCTGGGATTTTCCACGCTGCGACTCAGCCCCGGGAGGCATTTTTTTGGAAAAGCCTGAGCAAAACAGCTCAGCGCCGCCTCCAAGCAACTTATTCGGACATTCCCCCCTGAACCGCGCTTGCTGGCTCGGCAAGAGGTTCAGTGCGCATTTAGCTCAAAACATACGAGCTTCCCCGAGCTCAGCTCAGCTTGTAGGTCGGCATGAGCTGCCCTGGGTAACGCATTGGGTGTGGGGAGAGAAAGCTGGTCCGGAGGAACCGGGCAGCAAGATGCAAGGTCTGTGCAAAGCACAAAAGCCAGAGCGTGTCCCCAGTTCCCACAGAGGAGAGCTGTTTCTGAGCAGCTGGAGGAGACCCTTAGCCCCCTTGGGATATGGACGGGCCCATGCTGGGGGACTGCATTGGAGAAGGTCAACCTGAGCCCCCCAGGTTTACCACGGAGCCGTGGGGCTGCAGACAAGCGGCAGTTTCCTGAGCACATCAGTCTGTGATACTGGCTGGGAAGCACGGGTTTCTTCCTTCTTTTCCCTTGCTGTCCCTCTTCCCCCCCCCCCCCCCCCCCTCCCCTCCCCCCGCCGAAAGCCGCAGCAGCTCCTGGCAGGTCCGGGCTGGTTTGCAGAAGGTGCTGCAGCTGCTCTCCAGCTTCCTCCAGCAGCCCCAAAACCCCAGAGAAACCACCCGAGATCCAAAAAGTCCTTACAAAGCCTCTGCATCATTGCATGGCAGAGCAGACCCCTGGCAGAGCCTGTCCCTGAGCCCCCAAGTCCTCCCAGCAGCTCCAAGCTTTGCTCTGCCCCTTCCCAGGGTCTTTATGAAGAGCCCCTGGGAGCTTCTGCCCCCTCCCAGTAATTTACACCAGTTTGCTGACAGGGAGACGAGGTTCAGGCTTGGGGGTTTCTTTTGCCAAAATGGTCCTTAAAGAAACCCCCGACGTGGGGAGACGCTGTGCGGTGTTTGGTGAGGTTTTGCATCCTGCTGGACGTCGGAGCGAGCTGGGAGCGGGGCTTCATCCCCTGTTTTTCCTCACTCGGGTCCCCGCAGCAGTGGGTGCCTTTGCCCCGAGGGGGCTCAGCCAGGCTCGGGGACGCTTGGGATATTTGTCAGCCCTTGCACCACGGCGAACAGCTGGCTTGCCCCGCGGCAGGGGGTTGCAAACCGCCGGCTCCTGGCTTTCCCCCCGCAGCTCCCTGACACGTGCCCGGGACATGCAGACACCAAAATAGTGCTCTGTTACACAACGGGGCATTGTGACGCACTGCCCTCGCAGTTAGGAAACAGAAATTGCTTGCAGTCGAGTTAAAACCAGGAAAAAAAAACCTCACCCAAACCCAAACCCCAGCACAACAACAAAGCCATGGACAGACCCCGCTCAGGTTTGTGCTGCTCCAGACATCCCCGGGGGATGCTGCCAAAACCGCTGTGCGCGGCACCTCATCCCGCACCGGCATCACCTGCTCTTGCTGGCAGCGGTGGGACGAGGTGCCCACCGCTGCCCTTGCTTCATCCCTGGTCCCTAGGGATTCTCCTCAACCAGGTGGTCCCCGTCCAGCTCCGGGGGCACAGTTTGCTCTTTCTAACCCAAACCAGCCCCCTTGGCAGTGCAGGAGCAGGATGGTTTGGGGGGGCCAGGGCTGCTCCCAGGGTTTCCTCTCCTCCTTTGCCAACCAATGTCCAGACAGGCGCCGGATCAGCATTGGTGCTTTCCCATCCGGGTAGCGAGGGAGGTGTCCCAGGCGGGGCTATAAATGCCGTCGCCTGACGCTGGCTCGCCTCCCGCCCTGCCCGTCCTCGGCTGTTTTGTTTGAGCTGTTGGTGAGTTGATTTTTTTTCCTACGATGCTCTGTTCCCCCTCGCCCCGCTGGCCCTCCAGATGCCCTCCAGATGTTGCCGATGGCGCAGCTGCCCCATCTCGCAGTGGGGTCCCCCAACAGAGGTTTTCCCCCGGGGCTGAGCGTGAGGCTCCTGCTGCAGCGAGCCGAGCTCAAAGGCTGCCTTTCACCTCTGAGGGCTGGAAAAGCGTGTGTGCCCCTTCCCCGCCTGGCTCGGGCAGGAGGGGGCTGCTGCCTCCCCCCATGTTCTCCCCTCCGGCATGGCTTTTTTGGAGGTTGCTCGGCACCGGTACCAGACGGCCAACGCCTAGCCCGGCTGCTAGTGGGAGGGTGAAATTAGGGAGGAAATGGTGATGCATCCCGGGGCATGCCTGGGAGTGGGGCACTGGGGCAGTCTGCACGGTCTGGGGGGCCGGGGGAGACCGTTGGCCCCCCAGCATGGGGGTGTCTGGGGTCGCCGAACTCTGCTCTCACCTGCTTGTGCTGTTGGTGCCTCCAGGCTTGCTGGCATCCCCCATGGCGTCTCCCCTGGAGCAGGCGCTGGCCGTGATGGTCTCTACCTTCCACAAGTACTCGGGGAAGGAGGGGGACAAGTACAAGCTCAGCAAACAGGAGCTCAAGGAGATGCTCATGAAGGAGCTGCCCAGCTTCAGCGTAAGTGTGGGGCAGGGGGTGCCATGTCCCATGGGCGATGCTGGGCCTTGGGGATGTGGCCCTTGATGCAAACCCCCATTTTAACTCCCCTCTTGCCCCTGGGCAGAGACAAACCAGTGAGGCCAGCTTACAGCAGCTCATGTGCCACCTGGACAGCAACAGTGACAGCGAGGTGGATTTCCAAGAGTACGTGACCTTCCTGGCCTGCATGGCCATGATGTGCAACGACTTCTTCCAGGACTGCCCCGACAAGATGCCGCGCAAGAAGTGAGCATGGGGCACCGGCCCTGGGCTGCGTCGCTGCCCCCGTGACCCTCCCGCTGTCTTCCTGACGCTCTTTCAATAAAGGTTGCTTTAAACAAAGTCCTCCGCATGCTTTGCAATGGGGGTTTCTTGCCCCAGGGACAGGGGTGCTGTCACACTGGGGAAGGTCCCGTTTCCCTTCCACCTGCGCGTTGCCGGTCCCTGATGAGGAGCGAGAGCAAGGGTGCTTCCAAGCTGGAGTTTGCTCCGCTGCGGCATGGGCACTGCATTCCCTGAGCCCTCGTAAACCGCCCACGGGGCTGATCCCCGCCGGCCACGTTAGTGTGAGTCAGCGGCGGGCTCTGCTCGACAGCACCCTGCCCTGCAGCCCTGGTAACTGCTTCGTGGCCGTGCAAGGCAAGGCAGGAGCTTTCGCAGGGATTAATGCCTCTGACCAGCACCGTGATAACAGTGACGGGTGAACAACTCTTTTTTAGCCATGATTATTAAGCTCACGCGGGGTCAGCATCTGTCCCCCCACCTGCTGCTCCGTGGGGCAGGACCTGCTGCGTTGGGAAGTCACTCAGGACCCTTGTCCCTTCCCCACCCTGAGGGAACCCTTGGGAGCAGGGTTTCAGTTGCGTTCCTGCTTGGGGTGGGGTTATGGCGAGCAGGGGAGTGGGAGCAGAGGAGTGGCTTCCCTCGGTGCACCCAGCCAGTCCCCCTGGGCCGCCAGCATGGAAGGACTCAGCCCACGGCTATAAATGCAAGGAGCCGTGCAGCCACAGCCCTCCCTTCCCTGCACCGGGGCCTGACCTGCTCACGTCTGTAAGTTTCCATTTCCTCCCTCTGATCCCCTTTGCCCCTCACCGAACAGCTGCGGCCAACCCCGGCTTGCGTGCCGGGCTCCAGATGTGCAGCATGCCCCTTCCAGATGTGGATGCCCCCCCGCCACCCTGCTGGGAGCCAGACCTTTATCGGCGGGCTTGGGGCTGCTCCCAGAAGAACCGGCGAGCGGAGATGCCATGAAG